TAATGTTTTATGCGACGTACGTATGGATTTTAAGTCTTTTTCATATTATTTTAAAACTTACAATTTATGTTGCAAACTTTTATTGATTAAACGCATTTCATTTATTTGTGGTGGGCATTTTGATGATTTGATTCCGTAGTCTGTATAATTTGAATCATTTCTTGGGTAGTTATTTATGAAAAAGAACGCCTTCCATCTCATTTTCTTTACGAGCATTTCTGTTTTGTTTAGTAGTTTTAATTTATATTCTTTTTCAGATGGAATCGGTATATTTTTGATTGAATATTTCTAGTTTATTTTTTCCATTTTTGTTGATGACTTGAGAAGAGTGCTCAACTTGTAGGAGCAAATTTATACAAAATAGAAAATGTATTATTATGGTATAATAATAATAATACAAATACTCTTGTGCGTTTAAGAGTGCTCAATACTATTAAATAATAAAGCAATATTTATTTATTTATATTAAATGAATAAAAACAACTTTTGATGGAACTCTGAGTTTCATGCCTTTCGGCAATCATCAGGCTCATCATTGGCTCACCTGGGCTCTTCGGAAATCATCAGGCAATCATCATTGGCTCAATTTCGGCAATCATCAGGCAATCATCATTGGCTCACCTGGGCTCTTCCATTGGGACGATTGGGCTTTGGTTTAATATCATAACCATATATCCATGATTTGTCACCAGTTTCGACCCTTTTGAGTAAATCTAGGTCGTCGTTGACGTGATTCAACAGTTCTTGAGCGATGCTCATGCGACGGTTCTTTTGGTCAAAGTTGAGCAATTTCGGAACAAACTTTGCTGACACACGTCTCATGTCCAAAACGTTAGAAAAAATTTCATGGCACGAGCCAAGCGATATATCAACATCCTCAACAACTTTTTTGATAGTGATTCAACAATTTTCCAAAACACTTTTCTTCACTGCTTGAACGTTTTCATCAGTTGTTGATGTGGTTGGGCATCCAGAGCAAGGCTTGTCATTGGCATCTTCCCGGCCATCTTGAAAGAGTTTATACCACTTGTAAACATTTTTTTTACTCAGAACAGTTTCACCGTATGCCACAGTCAACATTTTTGTTGTTGTAGGATAATAATTTGGGTGGAAGTTTTTATCCTACAACAAAGGATATTTTAGGATTATTTTCTAGGAAAATAATTTGGGTGGCGGTACCCCTTTTAGGGCGTGACAAATCGACGAATGTGGGAACGTTTTTTAAAAAAAAGACAGAAAAACAAACATGTTTCCTTACTTTTACTTAAGTAAATGTTGGCGTTTGCCTAAAATTTTAATAAAAACGAACGCATAACTTCACCAATTTTTTTTTCCAAATAATTATGTGATGGATACTTTTTATATATTATAAAAAAAAACATATTTATTATAAAAAAACAATAAATTACTAGAATTCAAAACGCATTTTCAAAAACTTTAAAAGAAACCATGTTAATACTTTCTTTAAAAGTGTTACTTTTACGTTTAATAATTAAGTATGCAGCTGAAGGAAAGAGTAATGTCTTAGCATGGTTTTTACATGCGTTTACAAAAGCTTGAATAATTTTAGTTAAAATAAATGCATTTCCAATTAGTTTAAAAGAAACCATGCTAAAACATTGCTTTCTTCAAAAGCATGCTTTTTTTAAATTTTCTTATTATCATTAAAATGAGAGTAATGTTTGCTTTAATTTTTTTAAGATTTGCAGAAATGTATATAAATGTATATTTTTAAGATTTGCAGAAATGCATATAATTTAATAGAATATATAAAACTATTGTTTTTTTTAGTTTTCATTTTTTATTGTGTGTTTAACAACACCAATAATATAATATTTTATCAATAAATACTTAATATTACAAATACAATATCATATTAAGTATTTAATAGTAACTTAATATAATAGGCCGGGTGAATAAAAAATAGCAATTGCTTTTACTCAGTAATTGGTCAGCTTTGCGTGAATAAAAATTTTAGCAATATTGCTTAAGTTTTTATTTACTTAAAGCTGAGCAATTACTGAGCAAATTGCTTAACGTGAATAAAATTTGTGCAAAACTGTTAAAGTTTCACATAAAATTGACCAATTAATGAGTAAAAGCAATTGCTTTTTTTATTCACCCGGCCTAATAACTGGTTGAGTCGTATTTTATGTACGTAAGCAAAAACACGACTAAGAATATTTAAAATTAAAAAGCATTTTACAAAATATTATTGCATAATTATGCAACATCATTATAAGCAAAAGAAAAATATTTTGATATGTCTAATAATAAAAACCCGTTTTTAAAGAACATTTTAAAACTTTTATCTCTTCTTTTTAATATATTCAAACCTGATAAGATTTTAAATGTTTAACCAAATCTTTAAAAATTACACTTTTGTTTTTGACTGAATTTCTCCCAAAAAAACTCATGTAAATAGCTTGTAAATGAATCTTATAAAGATAAAATAAAGCTTATAAATATAAAATGAAGCTTATAAATATAAAATGAAGCTTATAAATATAAAATGAAGCTTATAAATATAAAATGAAGCTTATAAATATAAAATGAAGCTTATAAATATAAACTTTGTAGCACTTTGTTTTCTATTATTGTAATTCTTGTCTCAGCAGAACAAAATGCTCTTGGTAATAACATTTTTTAATTAAAATAGCATCATAAAAATGAAGTGTAAAAGTATAAATAACATTATTTTGATAAACTCTTCTAAATATTTAAGTTTATATTTTTAATTTAATGTTTTACAAAGTTGTATAAATTTTGTAATTTATGCAAACTCTTTTGTTCGAAAATACTTTTAAAACAAAATAACTTTTATTTACTTTTTCAAATGCAATATGTGAGTTACTTTTTTACTTAATTACGAACATAAATTATGAGTCAACCATAATACCTTTTTAAATAATTAATATTATTTTATTACCTTTAAATGTTGAAATTAAATACTTAATATTATATTATTATTTTTAAATGTTTTATAAAAGAAATGTCTAAACAACTTTTATTTTATTTTTAGTTCCCTTTTATTCAGATTTCTTCAAGTTTATATGTTATTTTTATAAGTAAATAAATTTAACTAAATTGAGAAAAATTACTATTTTGTATCAAAGGATAACAGTCACAAAGTTATTGTATATTAGTTATCATTAATTTGTGTGTGAAAAATTGTTTTGAATAATAAAAAATTGATAAAATTCAATAAGCATTTTAGATATATCTAATTATTATATATCTTTTTTTTTTTTTTTTTTTAATTATCTTTGCTTCCAACAAGGTTGCAAGCAACCACTAATTAGTGTTGGAAGTTACTGGAAGAGAAAAGATGAAGATTGTAGAGCAAGATAACGATTGACAGACAAATTAAAAATATTGCAAATTATATAAATCAGGAAAGCAAGATGAAGGAAGCGAATTCCAAAGAACTGATGTTCGAGGAAAAAAACTAGACGAATAAGAGTTTTTGGAGCACTTAGGAACAGTAACAGAAAAAGGATGAGACTTAATTGAATGACGAGTAACACGAGAATGAATTTTAGTAGATGGCACAAGAGACGCTAGCTCTTTAGAGCAGTGCCCATTATAGTATTTGTAGAAAAGAGAAAGAGAAGCAACATTACAACGATGTGACAGAGGTTGAAGGTTGGCTGCAAGAGCAGGTCCAACTATGTTTACAATGCGTTTTTGCACCTTGTCTAAAAGAGAAAGGACATCATTAGAATATCTGCCCCAGATATGGCAACAGTATTCCATACAAGGCCGGATTTGAGATTTATAGAGATAGAGAATAGAATCCAGAGTAAGAAAGTGACGAGCTCGATAAAGAGAAGCAACTTTAGCAGATGCTAATTTTGCAACGGATTTGATATAAGGTTTTCAAGAAAGATCAGAAGTAAGAGTTAATCCTAGAAGATGAAGGGTAGGAGACTCATTGAGTACATTACCATTCATAAATATAGGAAGGTCTAAATTATTGCGATAACGATTGGCCGAAAAAAATTGAGTTTTATCTGAATTAAAGTTCACCAGCCACTGCAAGCTCCATGCTGTAGAAGAAGTGAGATCCTTTTCGAGCTCAGATGCCCCCTGCAAGCAATCAGAGGGAGTTGGCTTCTTATCGTGACAAGAATAAATGGTAGTATCATCAGTGAACAATGCCACCTTAGATGTGAGAATATCTGGAAGATCGTTAATGTAAATTAAAAAGAGTATAGGGCCAAGGATTAAACCTTGGGGAACCCCTGAGGTTACAGAATAAGAAGAAGAGTGCTGTCCATCAAGGACAACTTTTATACTACGATAAGAAAGGAAGGATTCAATAATCTTAAAGATGTTTCCAGATACACCATAAGAAGAAAGCTTATGGAGCAGACCAGCATGCCAAACTTTATCAAACGCTTTAGAAATGTCAAGAGCAATGGCCTTAACCTCTCCACCTTTATCTAATGCGCGATAAAACCTATCGGGTATTACTGATAGCAAATCAGCCGTAGCAAATCACTCTTATTAGCTAGAATAAAAGTTATTTGAAAAAAAAACTCCCTTATAATTTAATGAAAAATTATAAGGGATATATTTCAATTTTTTAATTTAATTATAATTTAATAAAAAAATTGAAAGAATTAAAAATAAAACTGGAAAAAGAACTGAAAAAAAAACAATTTTTTATAAAAAAAAAAGATCCTCAAATTTTAATTTGGGTGGCACCCAAATACGGTCAATTCTGTTGAAAACTGTCTTGTATAGTTCCTGATATATATATATATATATATATATATATATATATATATATATATATATATATATATATATATATATATATATATATATATATATATATATATATATATATATATATATATATATATATATATATATATATAAAATATAATATTTAAATCGTTTAATCCAAACAACTTCTTTTTTATTACGTATAAAAAGTTGTGTAAAACAAATAATATTTGATTAATTTATATTGAACAAATGAAAATCTTCAG